GGTGGTCCTTCTGCAGGGCAGGGGGGGGCTGTGCATGGCCTGCGCTCAGCTGGCTGTCCCCACTCTCCGTGTTCCCCCCCGCCTTCTCCCGCAGCTAGCTCTGCCTCAGTTTCCCCCCTCCGCACAGCTCGGGCCGTTGGCTGTGCTGGGCTTGCCAAGTCCAATGCCGGCAAACTGAGGCACCTGGATGAACTTCAGCCCAGGTCTGTCCCGCAGCCGGGTCCCCTGGGACACAGCCCTTCCTGTCCCCCAGCACAGCCCAGCAGCACCGTGTGCCCCCGGCTGCAGGGGCTTGTGGTCACCCTGCTTGCCTGGGGCCAGCAACCAGCATGGGGAGGGGTTGGGAGCCCGGTGTCCTGCCTGTATCCCTCCTTGCCCTGGGACTCCTGGCCCGGGAATCCGCAGGGGGGTCCCCAAACTCCTGTCGTGCAGTGAGCGCGGGGTTTGCTCCGTGTCCTTCTTGGCTCCGGTTTCCCCTGCTGGCGGGGCTGTGCCTCTCCTCGGCCTCCTTGCATGTTCCAGGTGTGCTGGTGGCCCCACGTCACACGGAAGGCAGCACCCATGGTGGTTTTGTGTAGGTCCTACATAAATGATGCTGGTTTCAGGAGGCAGGAGGGGGCTGCTCTGCTGGCCCCTGGGGCAGAGCCTGGGTTAGGTGATAGAGCCTGGAGAAGCAGGATGAAGGGTGCCAGTGGGGATGGGGCAGGAGCAGGGCAGCAGTGGGGGCTGGTTGCTGGGTGGTTCTGCTGTGTGTCCCCTCCTGTTGTACCTCTCCCCCTGCTCTCCTGGTCTGTCTCTCTCCTTTCTCTGCTCTTGAGTTTAAAAAAAAAAAGGTGTTTAAAGGAGTTACCACCTGCTCCTGGCCTGGCTCACATGAGCTTGTGCCATCCCATGCCAGGGGCTCTTGGCAAACTCAGCATGACCACCCCATCTTCACCCCACCACGGTGGTCACTGTGTGTGCCCGCAGTGGGGATCTGCTCCCCTCCCTGTCCTCACCCCTGTCCCCATCCCTGTGCCCACCGGCCCCTGACTCTGCCCACCCCGCTGTCCCCGCACAGCAACAAGATGGGCATCAAGGAGAGGATCCGGCTGAGCACCCCGCAGCGGCAGGGCAGCCGTGGCAGGCAGCCCCTGGGGCCCCCCCTGCACCGCTCCCCCAGCACTGAGGACCTCCCTGAGGCCTCCAGCCCCACCAAGGTGCAGAAGAGCTGGAGCTTCAATGACCGGACCCGCTTCCGTGCATCCCTGAGGCTCAAGCCACGGACCCCAGTTGAGGGTAAGCCCTGAGGGCCAGTGGGATCACACTCGGGGGGCTGCAGGCATTTTGGGGGACACGGGGGAACAGCCCTCAGTCTCTGTTACTCACCTACAGCTGACTGCCCACCAGAGGACAGCGGTGAGGAGAAGAGCTCCCACTGTGACCTGACCTTTGAAGACATCATGCCAGCAGTGAAGACCCTCATTCGGGCTGTCAGGTGAGACTATCCCCTCCCATGTTCCCCAGCATACCTGCTGCCATCCCCAGCTCCTCTGTAGCTCTCAGGGAAGAGAGGATGTGTCTAGAAAGTCCCAGTCCAGCCCATGCTGCTGGCCAAGCCAGGCAGGCAGCAGGGGTGGCTCCTGGCACATTCCCCTGTGGGAACAGTGATCAGGACCTTGGTGATTAGCATGTGCCCCACCAGCCTGGGCACCCGGAGTGCCCTGTATCCAACCCATGTGTCCCTGCAGGATCCTGAAGTTTCTGGTGGCCAAGAGGAAGTTCAAGGAGACCTTGCGTCCCTATGATGTCAAGGACGTCATTGAGCAGTACTCAGCTGGTCACCTGGACATGCTGGGCAGGATTAAGAGCCTGCAGATGCGGTGAGGCACCCCAAAGGTGACAGGGGGACTGTGGGCTACCCTCGGGCTCCAACCACAAGCTGGGAGGGGTGCTGGCCCATCGCCATGGGTGGGAGATGTCCCTAGAGTCCTGTCCCCATCCCTTGTGGTCTCATATGCTCTCTGGTCTGCTGGGAGTGATGGGCTGTGTCCTCTCCCTCCTTGCCAGTGTGGACCAGATCGTGGGCAGGGGAGGCCTCACCACGGACAAGAAGATGCGGGAGAAGGGGGAGAAGCTGGCGCTGGAGACGGAGCTGGTGGACGAGCTCAGCATGATGGGGCGTGTGGTCAAAGTGGAGAGGCAGGTCAGGAGGGGGTGCCACCAGGAAGCATGTCACTGTCCCTTTGGCACCTGTGGGATAGGGGAGCTGGGACCCCCAGGACCTGTCCCCACGGAGAGGGACCTGCTCAGCCCTGTCCTCCCTTGCAGGTGCAGTCCATTGAGCACAAGCTGGACCTGTTGCTTGGCCTCTACTCCCAGTGCCTCCGCAAGGGCTCCATCAACTCCTTCAGCCTGGCCGCGGTGAAGGTGCCGCCCTGCGAGCCCGACATCACCTCTGACTACCACAGCCCCGTGGACCACGAGGACATCTCGGTCTCTGCCCAGACCCTGAACATCTCCAGGTCGGCCAGCACCAACATGGACTGAGCGGGGAGGCAGCGGGACGGATCCTGCCCGCGTGCAGCGTGGGATGGGGTGCTGGGGTGTGGGAGCAGTGTGGCAGCACCCAGCCCCCTCTGGCCGTGTCCCTCACCCTGTTACTTGAACTAAGTCTTCCTCTGTGGGGGCACAGATGCAGTGGGGTGGGATGGAAGCCTGTGGTACTGCAGAATGGCCACACCACATGCCCAGGATGCTCCTGCCCTTCCCAGGAGGTGAGACCCCTCAGCTTCTGGGGCCTTGAGTGCTCCCCAGTCATGGCAGGGATGCTCTAGGCTGGCCCCATCCCCTGGAGTTTGGTACCCCCAGCCCTCAGGACATGCCCAGCTCCCCAGCAGGGTCCTGCCTGGTCCCCTAGCCAGGGTCACTACCAGCTATGCAAGGCTCCATCTCCCCTCTGCTGCTGGGGCATGACCTGCTGAGGTTTTACCTGCATCTCTCTGGGTCCCAGCAGCAGCAGTGCAACCCTGGGCAGTGGAGTGGGGGGGTCTGTTCCCCCTGACCCTCCTCTGCCTGGGTTGTTTCCCTGCTCGCAGGGCTGCAGTGCTGCAGCCATGGCTGCACCTCTAGAAGCACAGCAGAGCCTTCTGCCTGCCCGTGCATGCTCCCGGGCAATATATATAGGAGATGTATCTATATATATTTATGCAATAATGTCTTAATATGCAACACCCTCGGGAAGAGCAACCCGTGGAGACATAGGCAATAAGCAAACCCCCCTAGCAGCACACAGGGCTGGATCCTGCTGCCCAGGGGGGGCCACTTGGGTGGCCCCGGAGCTCAGGACTGGGTGACAAATCTTTGCCTGACAGTGGCCCAGGGGCTGCAGAGGACAGAGGGATGCAGGCACAGGAAATGGGGATAGTCCCCAAAGAGCAACTCTCCCTCTCATGTCCCAGCCCCCGCTCTTGCTTAGAGGATTTCTTCCTGGCTGGGTCCTGTGGTGCTTGGTTTGTCCCCTCCCTGTGTCCCTGTCCCCTGGGGAGCATGGGCTGGGCCTGTGGGTGACTGCCCAGTGGGGACAGAGTGGTGTTGGCCATGTTGCCTTGCATGTGCTTGTGCCAGGGCCACAGCAGCTCCTGTGCTGCCCCCCACTCCCCTTTGCTGCCCGACCCCAGCCCCGGGCCATTCCCAGTCCCACAGCTCTGGGCTGAGCTGGGCTGGGATCGATCGTGGTAGTGCCAAAGTTTGCTGAGCTGGGACTGGAGCCTGCTCCTGAGTGCCTGGGGGTCCTGTGTGGTTGCTGTGTCCTGTGGGGCTGTCAGGGATTGGCAGCCAGACCCACTGGGATCTGACTTGGGCTGATAAGGACCTTCTGAGCATGGAATTTGCACCCTCCCCTTCCTAATCCCCCCTGTGCCTCTGCTCCCAGCAGCCAGGCCCCCTGGACCCTGCTCGTTTTTCTTGCCTCGTTAGTGCATGTGGCCCTGCTCCTGCTCCAGCACCACCCTGGCCCCTTCCCCTCACCCGGGGGGTGCCCGTGCCCTCGGCCAGGCCGTGGGGCAGTGGGGGTACCCCAGGGGGGCAGGAGGGGGTGGCCAGGTGCTGTGGGTGCCTGGCCCCAGGGAGAGGGTGCATGCGAGAGCTTCGCCCGCAGCCGCACGCAGGAACTAACTTGTAGGACCCTCCCCGGGGCTGGCTGAGTCCCCACAGACCTCCCCAGCCAGCAGTAGTTACCTCACTTGATTAACTTATTAATTTATTTGTTTCATTAAAATTTGGAGTAGAGGCTGCCCGCCTGCTTGCTCTCTCTCTCTCTCCCGGCTCTCCCGAGAGGTGGCACTCCAGCCCTGCCGCCCAGTGCTCCCGCTGGCGGACCCACGCGTCCAG